ATGAATGCATCTAGTTGTTATAGAAATTTCAATATTTCTCGTTTTTTTCAAAAGTCCTCTATAAGAATGATACTAAAAATACCCAAATAAGATGTAACGACCGATTTGAACTTTGTGTGACCGCCTTTGGGTACCAACTCAGCTGCAAAAAACATGCACTACATACGGTGATTTGGATTTCAGCTAAGAATTACACGTCAAACGTTTTTTTTTGGAAAATGTCGATAAGGGAAACAAAAAATTTGTTCCCTCAAAAAATTAAATCACCCTTTTTACTTTCTGAATTATACTTATTGAAATGGAAAATAAAAAAATAATAATAATCAACGAACCTTTCACCAGATTTCCCCACATGCATACATCAACAAAATGAATTCAAATTGGAAAATGTGACGTAAATAATCAGTATGAAGTAAATGATGTTTAATTAACGATCCTCACCTGCTGTCATGTGAAATACATGCGATTTGAGAAAAGTGATAAAACGCTGAGCGTAAAATGTCGGATTATGGACAGAAATAGTATCCTGAAATTTATGAATGTGTGGAAATATTCCATCACTGTTTGTGTAATCAGCTGAGAAACTTCAAAATTTTGAAAGGAAAACGTACACCATCGTGAAGCACACTTTTCCAAGTATGTTCCAGCTTTTTCAATAACCTATAATTCTGAAGAATATCGATTATACCAAGAAATAATAATAAGTCATCTCCTCGTTGATTTCTTGCTGGGAATGATATTTGTCTGTAACAATGTTTAAATAAAAACATAAACATATCTGCTTTGCTTTTTGAAACATATCCCATTTCATTTATGTAATATAAATCACAACAAAAAATAAAACTGTTTGAAACAAATAATGTGAGAAACATACTCATATGGCTTATAATAATCTGAGTCGAGTAATTTTTCACTTTTCACTCGAACGGTTTTAGTTTTTGTTTTCTGCAAATATTTATAGCTGTAAGACTTGACGAAATTTTCAGTTACCATTGAAAACAAAAAGAGTGAAACTGGAATTATAGAGATGCTGGAATCATAGAGATGAATAAAATGTATAAATGAAATGAAGTAGTTGCAAAATAAACCTGGTTTGAAGTCGATGGTTCGTTACCATCAACTGCATCAACTGCATTTTTTGCCGTGCTTTTATTGTGAATACCGACAAGAAGGCTGTAATCCATTATTTTGAAACTTTCAAGTACCTGCAGTATGAACAGGAATTAATCTCTGGGAAATCATGGGAAAAAAGTGTTTTTTAAATTTCATTTATTTGGAAAAAGTACCAAGCAGTCCCGGCTAATAGTTTTCATAATGGCATCATGCACGCCAACATCAAGCAGTAGTCCATCGGGATGCACAGAAATGAAATCCAAATCTTTCAGTGTAGGTGAAGTCTTTGCGCGTTCGTGTTTCGATGCCAACCTTTTATAGGTGGATCCTTTTAAATCATACTTTTCATGCATCATAATTGTTTGAGGTAACAGGTTATTCATCAGTAACAGACGGATATTTTTGCCCAGACTCTGAAGCACAGCAAAGACAAAATTATATCTTATGCGATGTAATTATAGAATTTCATTTTTAAAACTAATCCCAAATATAGAATAAATTACCTGATAACAAAATAGTCCAAAGAATTTTGGCAACAATGTATGCGGATTTTGATTAAAATTCTGAAATACCTCTCATTGCGGTTTGTTTGAAAATTTAACAAATGAAAACGTAAATAATTTGCATTCATCAGATTTCGAAAGAAAAGAAGTGTGGCGAAAAAAGCACTAGAAGCACAAGATATGCTAACCATATAATAACCCGGAAGCAATTTCTTCAGAAATTCAGCTTCTTTAGATTGTACCGTTTTGATTATAAACTGATCATCATGAGAGACATAGAATATGGATCCAGATGCTCCTGCATTCGATAGCTCTTTTAATGGAAACATACATACAGAACGCTGAAACAACTAAGTGAAATGAAGTGAGAATATGTGCAATCGAGAAATATGCGAAAAAAGTGCAAAAACTTTGTCAAAAATTTTATTCAAAAAGATAAATACTACAAAACAAACTAAGTTAAAAATCTTAAATAATTTTGTAAACTGTTTAATGACTTCTCACCAAAAAATCAGCAGTTTTGATTGCAAAAAGATCACGAAAAGTCCGAAATGCGATCGGCGCATAAGTCTGAAATCGAAAATCCCCATAACTATGAGACGGTGTTGACTGTGATCCATTTCTGAAATATAAATTATTGCTCAAAAAATTTAATTCACCAAGAGAAATGTTCGTATTTGCATTATTAAACAAATGTTAAACAGACAATAAGATGAGATCTCTTCCTAAATTCTGATGAGTTTACATATGTCCGATTACATTACATGGCGTTAATTATAAAGTCAATAAATTCTGTCCATTCCAAAATTATTCTTTCAGAGCCAAAATTTATATAAGAACATACGAGGGAAAAGAAACAGTATGGACGACATCAAAATCTTGCAGTAGGAGATCTCTCTTTGGTATAGAAGCTAGTGAACCTATTGAATTCGCGATACCCAGTTGTATTGCTCCCATCAACGCATTGCTTGGAACACGTTTGTAGCTCACCTTAAAATGACTCGTATGTCGTAATAAAATCAGTAAAATCAAGTTCATCAGGGTTAAAGTCACAGATGACGAAAACGATATGTGTTGTTATTATTATAATCAACAGCTTTAAAACGATACGGTATGTTTTATGTATATTTGTTGCATTCTCTGTTTATGGTAGTGATTTGGAGAAATGGTATATTTTCTAAAAATGATGGCACTATCTAATGAGTGGTCATAGTCACATGATACACCAAAACAAAAGTTTATACTTTTATTATTAAAAATGCAACAACCTCGCCCTGGCGATCTATGCGTCGATGACCAATTTTCTGCTTTTCGTGCTCTTCCTGATTACGCATCTCTTCTTCGACTAAAGATATATCAGATTTCAACTTCTATATTTTTCTTCGATTAAAGATATATCAGACTTCAACTTCTACATTTATTCCAAAAACCTCAACAAGAGAAATCAAGACTGTTGAATACTGTTATCATTATTATCATTATCATCATCACATTACAATCATTTACTCACCAGAAAAAGCGTTAGCACGTAATGACCTGGCATTAATTTGTTTTGCGGAATCTATATTCAGAGTTATATCAGATGGAGAAACTTCGTCCTTTTTGGAACCCATTTTCTGCTGTAGCACTTTACAAGCTCAGCCCGTAGCTGATCGATGCACACTAATTCAGTGATTTGCTGAAGAAAATTAGCACTAAAATTACATTACTGAAACTTTTTCCTTATAAATCTTATGTCAATTCTTTGAATTAATAAACATTGACTTCATCAGTCTAGGAAAATGGTTTTTTACAGTTCTGATATTCATAAGCAGCATTAAGAAATAAACCTATATCTCAGATCTGACAAAAAGTCTTTACTAGTAGCACGGAAATTACTAGAAAAACTTTTAGTAAATAAACGGATTTTAATAATAAAAATTTATCTCTTCATTCCATAAAGCTAAAAATTATTCACGATTTTACTGCATAAAAAATATACGAATTCATCGTATTATTCTTCAACTCCAGCCGCTCAAGATCGAAGAAATATATGCATAGGCACGAAGACTTATACGCATATGATTTTTGTAAAACATGTTAAGGATTTAAAAGAAACAAATTTTTAATACCTTTGATAATAGGACGCAATATATCGACAACTCCAAACAACAAACCGTAATACCTTAATATTTCAGGTCAGAATACCTGCAAAAATAAATCATATTTTCACTAACACTAATTTGTAATGAGCTTACATAATATTTTATTAAATTTTAATAAATAAAGGTGATCTGATCATTGATGAATCTGGTGAAATGATAGGTAATAATGCTACTAGCTTTCGCTTTTAAATATTTTGATGTATTACGGCAACTGAAATTTATGTTATCCAACCGACAGATAAGTGTAACGCACTTGTGCTTAATAGTAAGAAGTGTTGCAAAGTGCTTATAGCGATTCTCAACAAAAGATAAGTCAGATGATAAGGCCCGTGTTAAGGTTTTCCTTGTTAGCTATGAAGAAAACGAATGATGGCCTTTTGGGTGAGACATGTCAGCGAGACCGCAACAATGTAAACAGGAAATATGCGACACCACAGTATGTATGACTCACACTCATACTGCCACATCCGAACATATACCGGAACCAATCCGGTGACAAAACGAACGACATAAACCAAACTCCAGTGATGAATCCTGATGGTATCGCAGTTGCACCACGGTGACACAAGCATCCCCTATCTGTTGGAACAACGTGAGATGTCCTCCATGAGACCTGTGATGAAGAAAGAAGGCATCCAAATCATAATGAATGCATCTTGACAAACAGAACGATCCCAATGAGACTACATTTGAATAATTTCAACAACAAATAGCATTGTTTGTTCCATCGAAAGACATCCCTTCCATATTAAAATGCGAGCCAACTCTCGCATACACGCGCACACATAAATTACAAACAGATATGTTGAAGTTTCACATCAAAATTGAATTCACGTTATTATTACTTCCACACATTTTACAATCTGTTGCAAAAGTGTCTGCTGATCAGCATCTCATCAAATAACTTTTTAACAAAAGCAAATCAACCGCTACCAATGATAATTTGAAATTTATTTCATAGTAAAATAGAAATACACATTATGAAATGAAATCAGTGAAGTTTCAGAACTTGTTGAGTTACTGATAAAAGTACTACCTTATGTCCATAATGTTCAAAAATAAATACAAATCTTCCCAGAATTAAGTTGCAACCAGGAAAGAATTTTATTCAACTTATACAAAAATCAACATCGTTAATGTGTTGCCAATTTTCTTTGCATAACAAAAAATTAACTCAAGGTTTTCTTTTTTTTTTTTTTTTTTAAACCGAAAATTACATTATATAAAGAAGTTAAATCATTTACAACTGGTTAAGTACACGAGAACGGGTGGCAGCAATAACTCGGGATCTTTTTCTAGCAACAGTACCCCACTCGACACAATATTTCGGCAGTCGTCGATCCAAAGAATTTGATAAATGCTTCACTGTACCAACATCCATGACGAGCATCGTAATGCTCGTATCAGTTAAATTTAGACGCACTTTTGTATCACCATTTTTAAATCGATGCACCTGAAAATCTCCTCTTATTATAGGAATTATATAGGCAGTTGTTATTGAAATTAACCAAATGATAGATATTATTTTAAAACTTGTTGTATATATCAAGATGCAAGGCAATGGGAGAAGAAATATCAATAAGATCGATAATACAATGAAAAGTATTTATCAAAGTAACAACTCCTGGTCCAAATTCAACGTCATCAAAGGCTATAAACTAAGCCAAAAAAGTTAGCAGTCTTGCCGTATAATCGGGTGAACGCCATTCCATCGAATCATCACTAGTAATATGACTAGCGTAGGAACCATCCATGCGGTGGCATGAAGTTTGCGTTGCTCGATGTTCTGTTTCTGCTTCATCACGTCCTCTAATGCGAACTCTTCCATCTAGTTCATAACTAAAACAATGATTTTAAGAAAAAACAGTGGGGTAAAATGAACCGATCCTAAGATAAAATCGAAAAAACAAACCAAGCTTCCCGTTCTTTCCAATACAGCGAAATAGAACTAAAATTAATGAAAAGAAAATTCTTGAGCAGGAAGTTTCCATGAAACATTTGTCCTATTTCCGAATACAAATCCGAAAGACTGTTTTACTAAAAATCTAAAACATACATTTCAACTCGCACTGATCCTGATTTATCTCTGATAACCTCTATACGTCGTCCATCGGGTGTCATTAAAGTGGTTTCACCACCTCCGCGATAAATTTCCAACTGACCAGTTAAAAAGTGTCGAACAAGCAATTTCCCTTCACACATTTCAACAGTGGTTGCACCTGCTTGTCCGTAATAATTTACCTGCAAGCGAGATAGAACTAAAATAATAATATAATGAAAAGAAAATTCTAAGAAGTCATTCAACAACCCAAGTTAATTTTTATTTTTTTTTAACAACCAAAGTTAAAATTAATCTTCATCGTTGAAGCATTTCCATTATTACTATAAATTTAAATGCATAAAACTTGCTGATTTAATTCAATTCCTGTGTTATTAGAGGGCAAGATTTAACAAATAGCCTCTACTACAAAGTTGCGAATACTCACAACACAAGGTCACATAAAAATCATTCCGAAATGACCTGATAAAGCTTGCTTGAATGTATCCAACGAGTATCTGTGTTGCTATATTCATAAAAATGACAACCACAATGAGTTAGAGTATAGACGGTAAAATCTTTCTCACTGCGATACAATGATGCTCTTCCAACCATATTATTTTCAGTTAGAATTAACTTCTATAAAAAGAAAAGTTATTTTTAGGCATTTCATTTAAATAATATTTGAGCGAACATATTCCTCGCCTAAAAAATAGAAATAAATAATAAACCATGTCAGGATACGCATAATCGAGAGGAGAGCGCGCTGAAAGTGATGGAGAAATAGAAGTCATTGTTGTAAGAGGTTCATTCCATCGGACATTCTTTCCGAGACGTGCCGGTGTTATTTCTTTTTCAATAACTACGACATCTTCATTATCGCTTAGTGTGTCCGTATTTTCGACAATATCTACAGTATTCTGCACATTTGGGGCGTTATTAATCTGAAGTCCATTAAGTTTATTTGTGTTAGATAATCCTTTCAACACATGGTATTAAAATTTTTTTCATATGGTATTTAACACATGGTATTTGCATTTTCTCAATTCCGATATCAAATTCCAATATCAGTAATCACTATACTAAGATTAAATTTTAAGCTATGCAATATTTCAATTCTCACTCTATAAGTAAGCCCTATAAAGTTTATTTTTCATCTCGCTGAAACATGTAAAACATTGAGCAAAACAAAAAGTAGAAAATCTTTTGTTCTTGATACCTGATTGATATGTCGCCCTCTATCTACTGCATTCATTATACAAAATTCGTTATTCTGAGGAGTTAAGTCTTTTGTGGATGTCGTAACAGTTGCATTCTTTGAAGCTCGAGCAACTGCTTGAGCAGAAAGAAAATTTTCAGCTACACGACCTCGAAGAGCCGCTTTATTTTTCTGAAAAAGGCATTTTTAAAGTAATCCTTGCTTCCAGAAAATGTTCGAAAGAAACGTGTTCATTTCGTTATTTCAGCTACCAATTCAAGAGAACTATCGTTTTCTTAAACACTTCAGACAAATCACTAGAAACACTTTTCCAAGTATCTTAAGTTTTTTTTAAGTTGGAAAAATTACTTAATCTTGCTGTTCAAGAATGGGCATATTGTTAAACGAATGTGGTATACTGTGTATCATTTTATGCTTATTCCATGTTTTATTTTTTTATAATGAGTTATTACATATCGCTCATTTCACATTTATTTCAGATTAAACAAATGAAGTTACACAGAATCGCTTCTCCTATAAGTTTAAAATTAGTCATAAATTACGAAGTAATATCCTTAAAAAAGGACAGCATACTGACCGGTTATCAAAGTTGACGATTGTCATCTTTTTAGAACCACAAGAGAAGTTACTAAAATAAGTGCCAATCATTCTGTAGTTATTCAGTATCTAAAGCACAAGGAAAGGAGTTAAAAATTTGGTGCGCACATAATGACCGATTATTAAGAAAGTCACCGTTTTAAATCATGCGATTTCTTATTCTATGTAATAGTGAATTGTTTCTTAAACTGAGATCTGAGAAGTGGATTGCGTATGATCCAGAGGCGAGTATCAACGAAAATCCAACAAGAGTGAAACGATGATAATCATCCAAAGATTATAATCTCCATCTTATATCTGAGATCACTAGATACACCAACAATAATGGAAAGGGTGAGGGCGAAGAAGGGAGGAGTTAAATTTTGATTAAATTCCAGTCAACAGAAAGAGTTCAATTCTCTACAACAATATCTGACCATATTTCAAGCAAGCATTGTTTCGGAAATTGGATGGTTTCAAGACGACCACATCATCTACCAATTAACAATATTTCAATAATTTCTCGGGTGAAAAACGCTTTCATAATTAGTAGGATATATAAAATGCTTTCTAATATTGAATACCAAAATATAGTGCGTAATCCAAAATTTGTAGTCCGAAGTCGTATAATTTTTGCATTAACCTAATATTTGTAAATATTAAAGGAAATATTATATTTTTAAGCTTCTAAAAAATAGTTTGCAGGAATAAGAATGCTAAAACACTTAATGTAGTGTAACAAACCGTAATGATTGCAATTCGTTTTTCCAAGCGTGTTTTTTCACCTTTCAACTGCTCAATAATCTCATTCTTTTCTTTTAAAGCTGTATTGCTTTTTCTGATTTGCATCTTTAACTCACTGCGTTGCCGATCAAAATCCCTCACCATTATACGAAGGTCACTTATCTAAAAAACTGCTTTAGCCTTTTTTATTCAGTAAACATTCTATATAATATTGTCCGAATACATATTTTCAAAGTGCTTTTATTCTTATAGGCAGTTAAAACAAACTTTACTCAACTCCATTTTAATATAAATCGATACTAACCTGTTCCTTAAGCGTATTTACTAAAGCAGTATCACTGCCATCGTTTTGCTTTTGCTTTCGATTCAAAACAACATTTTCTCGTCTCAGACGTTCAATATCAGCATTACATATTTTTTCTGTCTCTTTTCTTACAGCAAGATTTTCGTGCCGTGCCTGCTTATCTTCCTCCAACTGCGCAATATATTTTTTCAATTCATTCACTTGTTGACGAAAATATTCTTTTTCTTCTAATGCTTGATCGAAAATTTCTTCTAACTGAAATTTAACTGCTTTTAAGACTAAACTGGGAAGCTTACTACAGGGACAAATATTTCGACAGAGAACACACTTCATGCATAACATAAGAAATATGACAACATCCAAATTCATGCTAGATTCTACCATAATCCATTTCCATAAATTAAGCATAGAGTGCTATAATCGAAAAAATCACAGCAGTGTAGTAATACAATATAAAACGGAAAAAAGAAACACCAACAATGAAATAGACTTTTCAGATGAATTCATGTCCATTCTGAAATAAGTAATGAATACTTATTGCTTGTATAAAAATCAATGTATACTGATAAATAGTATAAGAAGGAAAATAGTAAGACCTAAAAAACTTCACACTGAGCTAGGCTGAATAATTTTCTTCCTCAATTTTTTGTTTTAAAAGATAAGTACATACTCTTTTATATTCATGGTGGCGATATTCTTTTGCAAGGTCTACATGAGCAATGAGATCTCTCAACTGCTTTGCAAGATTCCGTTCCGTCACGCTACTTTCGACAGCTTCATTTTGCTGCATTTTCTGTAATTAGCTGAACTGAGAAAATTAGGTTTTATTTCAAGATCTATTTCTCCAAAACACTCCAACAAACAAATATATTAGTATGAAGAATCTTTACTAACATATAATAGAATTTCGCTTAGAAGCGAGATAAAAACTTCGCTTGTTTATAAAGTAGTACTTATCAAAAAGAATAATTTTTTTTAGTACGCTAATGTTACCTTTCTTCCAGGAATATGTCCCGAAGGCTGATTTTCCAAAGATGTTTCTAATAATACAGTGTTTATTTTTTCTACATTATTTCCAACTTTCTTTACATGAGCATAAATACCATCTTGTGTTTTCTACAAATAATTCAACACAATCTTTAAAGCTTTGTGTTTCATAAACTATTAATGAATAACTTCATAAAAAATACAATCAAGAAAAAATTACATCAATAAATAAATCTGACCTCATTAAAAATGGTCGGCAATATTTTTTGTGCGGTATGTGATTTCCGTTGTGCTTCTAAAACGATATTTGTTACTAGTTAAGAGAGAAAGATAGCAGCTGATAAGTATATCTGAATTTTCGAATTTGAAATATTCCTAAATTATACATAATAATAAAGGTAATATGCACTTACTTTTTTCGGATGTCCTGTGCCAATCCATGAAATGTGGAATTTCTTGTGAAATCTGTTCCGATCTATTTGAGCTTACAGTTGATAAAGATCCTTCATTTGCAGAGATCGATTCCAAAGGAAGTAACTCCTAGTAAAACGGAAAATCAATTAATTAAATCATGGGTCAATAGAGGAGTTGAATTAGCAGCAATTCAATCTAATTACCGCCTTCTGTTTTGCTTCTGATGCAAACTCTCGGATAACTTGTCGCCAGTGGCGCGATCTTGTACCATCAGTGTCCTGAGAATTCTCGGAAGTTCCTGGAGAAATTACCTCGTGCACTTGAGGTTCAAGACACTCTCTAACCGAACTTCCTACTGCTGTATTGGTAGATACTGAAATCAAGTTGTCTGATTAGACAAATATAAATAATATGTGAGGTAGAAACTAACACAACTTTACAGCAGTTAAAAAATTCAATACTTTTTTGTACATTGTAGTCATCATTAAAATTATCCGATGTTGCAGATGCATTGTTAGTTTCGTTCGTTGAAAAACTGCTCAAATCATGAATTACTGATGGCGTACCGCTGTTGCCTCGAACTTCTAAAATAATATATCAAAAAAAAAAAAAAAAAAAAACAAATATTACTAGCAATTTCACCAATATCACCGAAAAGTAAAAATAATGAACCTGATGAAATTGCTGAATTCCTGTTACTGCAATCAGTAACATCTATAATCACTGATTCAACGCCGTCATCTTTTCTGTTACTATTTGGACTAAGCACCACTGAACAAGCGTCTTCCGGACAACCGCTGTCGGCTGTGCCAGCTGTGTAAGGTCGATTTGAATCTTGAGCTTCATTGCTACCTTAAAAAGTGTGACAGAAGTTTATCAGACAATTGTGCACAATGAAACGTTCTAATTTCTACTTTCTTTGAACTTACTCGCATTATCGTTTGAAATATTTGATGAAGTTGACCGTTGTTCTGCAGTATTTATGCTTATTGGATAATGTATTTTTTCCTGTAATAAGTCAGATCAGAAGTTCAGTGATATAAGCTGGTAATAATTTAATGCAGAATTAGTTTAGTAATACGAGAACTTACCATAAGTCGCCCTGAAATACCGCTGCGTTTCTTCAAAAACGGTTTCAGCACCATTTAGCGATAGTTCGAATGTCTTAAAGTAATGCCGTACCTAGAATTCTAAGAAAATAACTTCTCTCACATTTCCAAAATAACGTGATTGAGACTTGCTGTAACAACTAATATACACAAAACTTAAAGAAATAATCATGCAGGAAGAAAGTAACGCGTGTTACGGAAACAAAATAATGTGCTGCCGAGAATATAGAAGTGAACTTGCAGTGAGAGAGCTAACATATAACTACAATATGCAGTAAGAAAACTCTGATTAAGAGTAAGGAGCGAAATTTCGATGATTGGAGACGGGAGGGAAATAATAAAAGTCGGCAATTATTCGGGAATGAAATGAGCAATGATTTTGGAGAAGGCGTGTATGGCAAAGGGAATGGAGTATGGAATGACGGTTATGATAGCTAAATGACGCGTATTTTATGACTTTTACTGTATTAGCGTATTACTTCAACCAAAAGTGAATACCATCAGTGATCCTATTAGAGAGAACAAAAACATCCCCATTTCCTTACTAACTCTTTCTGCAGCTCATAAAAAAATGGACTTGCCGCATAGAACCATCCGACCAAACATGAAAACTGCATGGGACGAATTGTTGGATGCTTGCTTAGTTCGGATGTTGCGTGACCTTGTCTGTATCATATCTCCTTTCTGTAACATCTCATGTTGGTCGAACTGCTGCTTACTCATTGAAATCACTTCCTTTTTTAATGTCTGTCTATGTCCACATTGTTCAGTAGAATTCCAATTCCTATTTTCAGATACGATATGATGGCAAGAAGCAGTATGGAAGCTGGGCCATCATCCGAGATTTCCCCAACTATGGATCAATGCCATTCGAGTTCTCTTCAAAGGTTCAGCTTTTTCTTGAATTCCTTAGAGTGTATTCTTCCTTAGTATAGTTTTTAATTCTATAGCAATAATGCTGGTGTTATACTCTCTTTGCAATCTGCTGCAAACACTAACGAAAGGGAAAGAAATGAAAAATTTAACGTAATATAGCAACTGAAGTAAGCCATGCACAAATTTTATTCTTTCCGCAAACATTTAGGCTTTAACGATAGAATTACGACAGGATTTATAGCGCAAGTAGACAAGCATTTTACAGTAACATTGGAAATTTAAAGCACAGTTTGCAATAAGAACATTCTTATATATGATACTATGCTTTAGGAAGAAGAGACGTTTGCACGCTGATCAACGTGCACAACTTACCTACCAAAAAATTGCAGCAGAACGGAAAGCTGAAAAAGAAAAACGTCAACTGGAAAGAGAGAGGAGGCAAAAAGTTTTGGAAGAATACACTTCAATTAAACAAAAGATGAATAAAGCATTATTAAAAAAGAACAAACGGGGACAGCCAAATCTCAACGCTCAAATAGAAGTTTTGTTGGAAAAGATTGAAAAACGGATGCAAAAGTCATAATCATTTCCTACCGTCAATAAATTATGTCTGAGACATTTCCGTTTCCATATCTTACTCTGTTTGTTGTTGTTTGCTTTTGTTGATTGATTTTTGTTCAGTATTCAAATAAATATTTAAAAAATGATCCTCCAACAAGTTCGTTGCATAGTGCAAATAGTAGAACCAACTCTTATTTTCATATTTTGAGGCATTAAAGAGTACACTGTTTTGGTAGTATTTGTATGAACAATGAATCAAGCAGTCACTTGATTTCGTGCAGTTAAATTTTACACACAATTCTTCGACTGTAGGAATGCAGTAGTCAAATGTACCTTGCAAATTTCAGTTTATGACTTTGGACAAACTCAGATCTGTTCAGGAACACTCTAGGGGCAAAATCGATGGCTTCATGACAGATGGAAAGACGCGACCACCTAAACCAAACGAGTTCCATTATCGATGTAATCACCTTTACATGGCAGCAAGTCTACTCTGTTCACGTGAGTTTCCTGTATGTTCAATTTCAGTTCCGACCTCCAAAGAAGTTCTGAATGTATGGGAATACTATTATTTTAGAATCTTCTGGCAACAGTGGTCTGGAAATGCTTAGCAAACTTTACCTTCGTGAAATGAAAGAACTATGCTCGGTTGAAATGATACGACTGGAAAAAGATTTTGGTCGTACTATCTGTAAGCGATGCAAGAATATTTTTATTGCTCGCCCCGATGGCACCCAGTCGATTACCGTAAGGTAATCATTAAACTTCAAATTGACGTCGGTCTACCTGAGTTCTTCGCTTTTTCAAACAAATTTATGATCCAATTAGTAAGTTTAGCAAAAAATCAGTGTGTATAAATGTAGGATATGTAGCAGGCCTCTAAATTTAGAAAATGTTGTCTTAAAAAATTCTGGAAAAGAAGCTTATAAATTGTTATGGAAGATAACAAGAAAGAGTTCTATCACTTTTAATAAAAATTTTGATCAGACTCAACAGAAAGAAGCAGATGATAAGGACATGCCTTAGCTGTGGGGCTAAAAAGCGTTTCGCAAGAAACAGTACATATCTCTCTCGGAATGAACAAAATCAACATCAAATAGGAATTGAAGGGCGACAGCAACAAGTACAGAGTAAAGAAGTCCATCCTAGCAGCGTGTATTTGCAAGATCCTTCTCTGTGAATTATTGTACTTTATTTTTTGTCTATTTAATAATTGAAAGATTTAGCAAAGAAATAACAACAGCTTAATGTTTTCAAATCTAATTTCTCCATGAATTGTAGAATAATGATATTTACAAAGTCAACTTTTTCGGAACCCATAAGTCTAAATGTATCTCAGAACTATGCCCTCCACTTCGGATAATTTTAAATCTGCAATCAGTAGTGAAATACTTGAATCAGTTTTTTGCCAAATACTTGATACGGTAACAAAAGATATCTAGCGAGCACAGAACTGTACGTTCTTTTTGCAGCCAAGAAACTAATTATTGATTTAATAAAAATATATTAAACATTAACGACAAAGTTCAACTTGCTATGCATTAAGATGCTTTATCATTCAGGTGATGCTTCGTCACTTATTCCTTCCAAATCTCTCCTCGCTCTTACTAAAATTTCGTCTTCTTCATCACCATTTTTCCTATTTTCGGGAGCTAAAAGATGAAAAATTTTCCTAGTTCACATGACGGTAAATTTAACAATAAAAGGAATGAGAAAAGGAGCACCAATTTTTTGGAAAGAATCTACCTCTTAAAATGGAATTCCCGCTTACAATTGTTGCATTATAGTCCTTTTGCTGGCTGCATTCATTTTGAAGTTCCTAATAAATAAGTAAGATTTCTAATAAAAATTATGTATAGTGGCAACCGGTACCGAAAAAGGAAAAAGTTAAGTGAAAGCAAAATTGTATATCAAGCAAATTCTTGTCGTCAAAACTTCATTTGAAACACAGAAATCAAAAATGGACAGAAAACTACATGCATGAATTGCCCTACTAAATCTTGTAATATGTTACCGTAAATGTTTTACGGTCGGAGTCTGAGCTTTCAGACAAAATTAGTCGTCAGACGACCAGAAATTCGTCATTACAGACTTTTAGTGACTATTTGTTATAACTGCTAGTTTCAAATGAAACTTATGAAAATACAGAAATTACAATTTGTTACCTGACTGGTTGACCAGCTGCTTCCAGCAAGTTCTGCTACAGATTTTTGGTTACCTAAGCGATGTAAACAAATTGCACGATCTTCACCAACACTGGCTATATGCGTTCCATCTATCGAAAATGAAAGACTTTTCACCTTAAATTGCATTCACTGTTACCGTTTTTCTGAAGCTCTTATTGTTATCTTAGAAACAAATTAAGATACAAAATTTGAGCGGAATTGATAGGCTACGGAAACATACGAAATGGTGAATTTGGAAGGACAATTTAATTTTTTTTAATTAAGAAATGTTCCAATGTAACCATCTCATTAAAAAAAAAAAAGCACCCAGGAATGCTCGCTTTTTCTTTTCTCATATTTAGAATTTAAGAAAAAAACTGAAGATTTGGAATCAAAATCTACTACAGATAGCTTCCAGAACCACAATAATTTCAAAGTAATTTGTAATTATCACTTCGGGGAAAAAGAGATTTTGTCATTTCCTGAAACTCTTTTAATTCTGGTTTATAACAAGCAATTCACATTATGCTAAGTAAATGGATGACCAGAAACTAACTACTCCTTCATGAGCTCCTTGAAAAACGTGAAGTGCAGAGTCTTGTGTAGTACTCCACAGAATTACAGATCCATCGTTCGATGAACTTGCAAACCTTTAACTAATCAGATTTTAATACAAATACAATATACGGATTAAGGAAGTAAAAATAAACAAATTCCATACATTTGCGGATCTCGAGAGTTATATTTGACTGCCGTAATACAACTTCGATGACCACAAAAACTTTTAACCAGTTGTGCCTTGTCTATACGGCTAAAATAGATTTTTATTAAGTACGGCGAAAATGATTATAATCATCATAATCACTTTTTATGCTCTCCACAAAAGGTCAACTGGTTCTTTGTGACTCTTAATCAGAGTTGGAATTTGAATACAAACTAAAAAAAAAAAAAGGAAATTCTTTCAAAAATTCAACTGGTCCTTGAAAATAAGTCCTTGAAAAACTCACATCGTATAAAGTTTGACGATTTTATCATCTGAGCCAGTCAACAAACTATCCGATGAAGGAGAAAAACATGTTGCCCTCACTTTAATTGCATGTGCTAGAAATATTAGTTAATTATAGATTTAATTATAGATAAGTTCAACGATAAATGAACTTTTCTGGCATTCTGTAGGGAAAGAAAGATCATACAAATTCGTATTCTAGCAACAAACCTTCAAAAAAAAACCGAATTTCAAGTTTTGGTGCATTGAGTATCGTGACAATGCCTTCATTGTTAGCTACAGCAATCATTTTATTGTCTGGGCTCTAAAATGCAGTGAAAATAGCAGTTTGAAGTGTCCCAACATAAGTATTTAGATGAATCAAAAAATGAACTGAAACATAACTTCTTAATAGCTTAAACTAAAAGAGATAAAAATTTGGTGTTGGA